CAAAAAAAAGAAAAGAACGCATTGTAAAAAAAATATAAGAATGTTATATAAATTTTAATTGTATGATTTGATATTTATAGCCAACCCCGATTATATAGAAAAAGGTTAAAATGATGATGATATTTTAGTAAAAATTTATGAATATTTGTTGCCATAATTTATATTTTATATATATATATATATATTTTTTGAGATTTTTTAAACAAATCCAACTATAAATTAATTTTTAAATATTTTTCCATTATTTTGTAAACTTATTTGGACTTTTATGGTTTCTTTTGTTTTTATTATATTTTTACAACCATTATTTTATTTTTTCCTTTTTAAATGTTTTTATTTTTTTATATTTTTCTAAGACTTAGATAAAAATAAAAAAGTATATATTTAACTAAAAAAATAAAAAGAATGACTACTTTAACCCAAAACCAGAGGAACTACTTGGACCAAGAACCAGACCTAGTCCCGAATTGTGTCCAAGCGTTGGGACCCGGATCCGACCTGTCGAGTCCAACCCCTAGACCCATACCCCACCGAGGTTGGGTCCAACCATCAGGTCTTAGATCCACGGGTCACAATTGGGCCCTTATTTTAGACTAGGTGAAAATAGCTAGTTTGGAAAGCTCATAAGGGCATATTGTGGTAAAAACTAAAAAACAAGAGGAAAGGTGATTAGGTGTACCAATGGGGGTCAGTGAAATCATAAGTCATACACCTACTCTTCTTGAGAGGAAAACAACAACGAGAATTCATGTGAAATGCCATTTATTGAGAGGGGCTAATATGATAATTTCTCAATTAATATTGTGCACAATCTTTTGCTTTTTTATATTTTTGGCAAGCTTTTCTCTTTATCATCAATTCTGAATGTACGGCTGAAATGGCTCCAATCACAATGAATGTCTAAAATACCTCTGAACGTTTCAAGGGATATTTTGATCATTATATTTTATCATAAAAATTTAAAATATTTTTCATAAGTATGCCCCATTGAGAAGATGGTATACACCAATTTTCATGATCATACAATTTGTAGAAAACAAATTAAAAATAAAATACTCTGTCAATTCTGAATGAATGATTGAGATGGCCCCAATCACAATGAATGACTAAAATACCTTTGAAAGTTTCAAAGGATATTTTGGTCATTATATTTTATCAAAAAAATTTAAAATATTTTTCATCAGTACGCCCCATTGAGACGATGGTATATACCAATTTTCATAATCATACAATTTGTAGAAAACAAATTAAAAATAAAATACTCTGAGACATCGGATCTAGATCAAATGGTGAGTGGCTCATCTGATATAAATTGAAAGGTTAGATGGGATGGAAAGCATATATCTTTTATGCTCTAGGGAAAATATAGAAAACTTCCCCTTATTTTTATCCAGACTATAGTCTTTATCCTCTGAACTTTTGAATGAGAAAAATATTTGAATCGGTCTCACATATGTTGTAGGATTAGATTAGCGCACAGATAGAAATGAGGGGAAGACCCCTAATGAAAATAATGAGAGTAGAGTACTAATCTGTTAGAGATCTATTTCAAAGAAAAAAAAGGTCCCAGGTGTCCATGAACCACAAATGCATTGGTTTTATAAGCTGGTATGGACAAAGATGTAGTTGTTGGAATTTTTAGAAAACTGCAGATGACTCTATTAAATTGATTAATCAATAATATACAAGATTCCGTATAAATATACGGCCAATGACAGTTAAAGATAAATACCAATGGTTATGGATAGACACCACTTAATTTTATCAAGAGATATATATCTATACTAGTGTTCGCAAAATCGAACAGGAACGGTTAACCGGACATAGGCCTGAAAGCGGTTTAACTGGCCTAATTAATAAACCGGCCGATTCAACCGCTCTAACCCTGCAAGTCCAGGGGTGGTAAAAAAAGTGTTGAAAAAAATACAAAAAAAATATAAAAAAAATCTACTAAAATATGAAAAGCATATAAAGAATGATTAAAACAAAAGAAGTTCAAATGAAGTTAAAAATTAATGAAAAAGGTGGATTTTAACCCATTTTCTATTTTCCAAAGGCTATTTTTAAAATTTTCTAAAAGAGATGGAAAATATAAAAATGAGTATTAATGACCAAAAAAAATTTCAATCTTTACCATAATGTAAGAAATATTAAAAAATACATTAAAAATCAAATTCCTTATTTTTGAAAATTTATATACATTATTTTATTTTATTTTTTAAAAATACCGATTGATCACCCAAACCGCCCAAAATCGGAACCGGCCATTGGCTGGTTCCGATATAACCAGGCAATTAGAAGTTAGATCGGGCGATTTTAGGAACAATGATCCATACATATGCATATCTATAATGATATGTATCAGTATGATACATATCCTAATATTATCAAGAGATATGGATCCATATATTATGTATCAGTATGATACATATACATATCCTAATATTATCAAGAGATATGTATCCATATATTATGTATCAGTATGATACATATCCATATCCATAATGTTATCAAAAGATATATTCCATACAGATCAATATGATACATATCTTATTCTTATCAAGAGATATGTATCCATATAGATGAATATCCATACTGATATGTATAAGTATAATACATAACCATATCCATACATTAACACCCTCCTTCAAACTCAAAATGCTTTGATACAAAGCATCTGGAGTTTGAACAATAAGTTGTATAAACGAACGAGTTGGATCTTTTTGTCTTCAGGTTCATGGGGTGACCGAGAGAAGCAGTAGTCTCCATGCTCAGATTGCTTAAACAACAAGCACAAAAAATGACAGACCTCAGGAACAAACGACCTCAAGAACATTTGGGATCGAGTAACGAAAAACTTGATCAACAGTACACAAACAAGACTTCGAAACATATGAGATCAAGTAACAAAAAACTCGATCAACAGTAGACAAACAAGACTTCAAAACATCCGGGATCAAGTAACAAAAAACTCAATCAATAGACAAGATCGAATAACGAAAAACACAATCATCAAACAGGATCAAGTAACGGAAAACACGTTCATCAAACAGGATCGAGTAACAGAAAACTCCATCATCCAATAGGATTGAGTAATGAAAAACTCAATCATTAAACATGATCAAGTAACAGAAACTTAATGATCAAGTAACGGAAACTTGATCATCAACCAGGATCGAGAAATTCGATCATCAAACATGAGGCACTTGGAAGAGCCAACAAAAGTCACTAGTGGATCAACAAAAATAGTTGGACTTTAGATTTAAAGTTGAGAACAGTAAGATCCAAAATAGATCAAAGAGTCAAAACACTACTCGGCAGAGAGACAGATAAGAGAGAGCACAACAACAATAGTTCACCTTTTATAAAATACTAAAGAACATAGCGGTGCACTTGTTCAAGGTGCACTTTTTGCACATGTAAAGTGAAAGAGATGATGCCTAGCAAAAGAAGAAATTTACCCGAATAAAGAGGTTTCCATCTATCAAATGAATGCAAGGTTTTTGGAATAATAAGAAACTTAGAGATGCACTTTTTGCCCAACAAAAGTGCCCAACAGAGCACGAAGTAGGGAGAGAGAGGATGGCCAAACGTAAGAAAGAGGGTTTCAAAAGTTGCAGGGTACTTAAAGGGCAACGATCGCCATCCATTCTCGCCTCGGCTCGCACCTTGGAGCCTCTGATTCGTCGACCGTTTCTCGAATGCAAATAAGGCATCATCTTTTACACAAAATCAGAAGGTGCAAAAGGAAAATTTGGCCACTAGCTTCCCCTCAAAGAGACAATTCAATAGCCCAAAACAATGATAAGAACCAAAGCCTCAACCCCACCAGACTTAAATTTAGAGAGAGAAAGGTCTCTACTCGATACAAATCCCTTAGCTGCACTCGTGAGATGAGGTCGCAGATCTTGTCGATGATAGCTAATTGCTCGAGCACGAGTGACCCTAGCTTGAACTCCTCAACGCAACACTACTTCAGTTTCTCCGCCAAAAGATTTTCCACTCAAAAAAGCTTTTGCACCATAGACAGTTGATGTGTTCAACACAGTAGGTCTTAGCAAATTGAGAAGAAAGTGACAAATTGTACTTTCTCTCTCTAGGGGATGATTTCTTGATGCAAACTATAATGCAAAATGTGAAGCAAAAGGAAAGCAAAGGAGTATGGGCAGGTGAAGCAAATTGACAGGACAGGTGAAAGACTATGCAGTAAAGGTTTTGTTAAAGGATCATAACAAAACTATGATCTGAGCTCTCACCTCACAGCAACTTCAGATTTAAGGTTGAGGAGCCACTATGATCTGAGCTCGCACCTCACGACAATTTCAGATATGAGGTTGAGGAGCCTATGGCTCTGATACCATGTTAGAATTTTCAAAATACTACAAAGAACTATATTAAATTGATTAATTAAGAATATACAAGACTCCATATAAATATACGATCAATAACAGTTAAAGATAAATCTCAATGGTTACGGATAGATACCACATAATCTTATCAAGATATATGTAATCATACAGATGCATATCTATACTGATATAGAGATATATCTCCATACAGATGCATATTCATATTGATATGTATCAATATGATACATATCCTAATTTTATCAAAAAATATGTATCCATACCGATGCATATCCATATATCCTAATCTTATCAAGAGATATGTATCTATAAAGATGCATATTCATATTTATATGTATTAGTATGATACATATCCATATCTATAATTTTATCAAGAGATATGTATCCCTACAAGATGCATATCCATATTGATATGTATCAGTATGATACATATCATATCCATACGTTAATAGTGGCTACAACGATACAGAAATATGCCTAGGCTTGAGTTGTTATTGCCTGACATTTAGCAGCATTAATTTTCAAGTTCGATTCCTAGTATTGAACTAGCAAAAGAAAATAAAAAGTTATTGCATTTGTAAGTGAAAACATCTTATTGATTATAATGTTATGAATGGTCACAACATAAAAGAATCATCATAATCGGTACCTTTTTTTCAATTATTTAAGGTTGGCTACACCATAAAAGACTAAGAAACGAAACGTGAAATCTCCAAATACAAAACGGTTCCACACATCTCATTTGAAAATACATTGACGCCTTTCTAACCCAAACAGTGATTTCAAGTGATAATTTCATTGATGAATTCATCGTCTAGAAAAGAAAGGGAAGCCCTTTCACACCACCACTCGAATTACAGGGTCATACCCTAAGATTCGAGAAAGAAGAATCACCCTAATAAGGTCACATAAAAACACACAAATTGATTTTTCTACTAACAGTGATCTCTCTGTCCAATTTTGTAGTAGTTCTATCTCTGTTACTATTAGTGGCCTATACCTATTCACCACTCTCTCTCACTCAGAGCTTGGTATTATCAATGAAGCCATTGGCGTTAGCGGCACTGTAGCCTTTTTGAATGTCTTCTTCCTCCATGAATCTTTTCCAGAACCAGTGGCTCCCCCAGACCCTGTAAGGCATCTCCTCGATGGAGATGTTCTTTGTCTCGGGGAGAAGGAAGAACACGAAGAGAGACATAATGAGGACCCAACCAGAGAAGAATGCAAAGATGCCATACTTCATGTGACAGAGCATAGAGAGGAAGGCTTGGGCAATGGCGAAGGTGAAGAGGAGGTTCACGCACACCGTGATGCTTTGCCCAGCAGAGCGAGTCTCTAAGGGGAAGGTCTCGCTCGGGATTAGCCATCCGAGTGGCCCCCACGACCATGCAAATGCAGATATGAATGTGCAGACCATCACCACCACCACGATGCCCACACTCTTGCTCAGCTCTCCTGTCTCTCCACTCAAGTTTGTTCCCAAAAGCACTGTTATCACAATCTGCAAAAGACAGGATTTCAGAAAATGGAAATCTGATCTCAGAGAGAGAGAGAGAGAGAGAGAGAGAGATGGTTACCTGGGCCATAAACATCTGGACACCGGCCTCTAGTAGCAACAACCTTCGGCCAAGCTTGTCGACAGAATAGATGGACACAACCGTAGACACAACGTTGACAGCCCCAGTGATCACAGTCGAGTACAATGAAGCGTCGCTCCCGAATCCTAGCGTGTCAAAGAGCACCGGGGCGTAGAACATGATGGCGTTAATGCCAGTGAGCTGTTGAAATATCTGTAAAGCAATTGCAATAACCAGCGGTGCCCTATTCTTGCGACTCAACAGGTTCCTGAAGGGGTGTTGCACAGCCTTTGCAGCTTCACTGGCCTCAACGAGTTCCGCGAATTCGGCCTCGACATTGTCTGTGCCTCGAATTCGCTTCAGCACAGCTCGCCCCTCATCTAAACGGCCACGCTCGACGAGACTGTTGGGGGTCTCAGAGACAATGAGGGCACCTATGGTAAGAAGCAAAGCAGGAATTCCAGCTAAACCTAGCGAGAGGCGCCACCCCCAGCCACCCTTGATCTTGGCGGTGCCGTAGTTCACAAGGTTCGCGAAGAGGATTCCGATCGTCACATTCAGCTGGAAGAGGATATTCAGACCGCCTCGGATCCGGGTTGGCGCAATCTCAGAAAGAAAAACTGGAACCGCCTGTTGAAAATTGAAATTGCAAATATTATATATATATATATATATATATATATATATATATATTTACTTTTTTCTTCTACTTTTTCTTTTTTATTTAGTTGGTCTAACTATCTATTT